CCTGTTTCCCTTTCTGCCCTTCCAAGCGCCAGTCGGCCTGAACTTTGGATCCGGAATACCTCCAGAGTCTGGGTAGAGTCTAGAGTCCCGAATCTTCCATTGTTTCTTTCCCTTTGATGGCCATGTGATTCCTCTCTTGTTCTGGACCATTCTCTTTTTTGCCTCGGACTTTCCTTCCCGCCTTTCTTTTCCCTCGTGCTTCACGACGGCTGCTTACAACCTTCCCCGGCTACTCCATGTTCCTTCCCCTCAACTCTCCAATTCCCGCTTTACCGAACCGACAACCCGACATTGTGTGTCTTCACCTTCCTTCTTCTCGTCTAAAGCCTGTCTAGAACATTTTTTGGTCCCAGGTCCATCTCTTCCCCCCACCGCCAGAGTCCTAGACCTTAGGAGAGCAAGGAGACCAAGAGGAGGTATTGCCACCAATTAACCACGACCCTTTCCTCCGCGTTGGCGCGCTTTCCCCCAACTTTGCCTGCATCCCGTCCCTTTGCTGTGCCGTCCCCCTGTCAGATGGTCATTCGCCCTTCTGCACTCTGAGCTGTCAAATCTCGTCTGCTGTGCCGACGGACAAATCCAGCACCACAGCGCGCCTCTCTATCCCGCATCGGGGCTGTTGAAGCTTCAGGGTCCAGCTGAAAAGGAACAGGCGCAGGTTGCAGGAACAGGGGCATTCGGCTTCGAGGCAATCCCTTCCGTTTGGCGACGGCTGCACATTCCGTCTCCCTCTCACGACACTCGGGCAGGCAGATCTTTTATTGGTATTCTTCAAGCTCAGGGACAATCACTCAAGAGCAACCCCATCAAAGGCTCAAGGGACTACTCCGTACCTCACACAGTCCGAACTCCTCTTCCTTCGCCCCCAAATCAACCCAGCCCTTGATCTGCTTTCTGCCCGCCCGCCCATGCTTCTTCGTACGAATACCCACCCACACACACACACACACAGACACCCGACAACCCTTTCTCCCCCGGCTGATCGCGTGTCACGAGAGCGACAGACATTGGAGACGGAGAGAATAAAAGGCGGATCGGGCATGGGAGTTACCGCTGGCGTCGCCCTACCGAAGCAATTGAATTGCTGAATTTCCCCATTATTACCCTGCTACCCCCAGTCGTCCAAGTCCACAGTTTCCACACTTGTGCACCTCACCTACGAATACGTACTCCCTACGGAGTAGTACCTACCTACCCAAGGCAGGCAGTCCAGCCCAACCTCTGCACCTACCTTCCCTACGGATACCTCACAGTAATAGTACGGAGAAAAGTACAACAAAGTCACAGACCGCAGTATTTGTGCCCGCAATACGGTGCGGTACCGATTACTCTCATCTCACCGGCACATCCACCCAAGAACCCGCTCTGGAATCGGTCACTGGTTGGTACGGATACCTCGCCCACCCGCTAGACAACCTCCGAAATTCACCTCTGTCCGGCTGACCATCAAGTACCTTGCAGTGCTTGCCCAAGGTTCCCTTATTCGTCGCCCCGGCCACCTCTTGCTCCCGTCGTCGTCCTTCAGGTCTTTCTCCGCTACGGTGCACCTGAGGTACGAAGTACACACATCCGCAACTCTCATCCCATTTTACAATAACCACCCCATCGCCGCCCTTTCCCCCGTCCTCCGTCTTCTACCTTATCCTCTCCCTCGCGACTCAAAAGCTCCCAACAAGGAAACAACTTTCATGCGTCGGGCTGGTCATGCCGTGATCTGGATCGCGAATTCGACTCACCACCAACCTTTCTCCCTCGATACACTGCTAGACGCTATTGAAGCCGGTACCTTGCATCCGAACCGTACAAGTAAACACACACACACACACACCTACGAATACAACACCCGCACCAGTGGAGCACTTGTTCCTGATTCACTCGAGGAACGGACGACTCTCCGCCACCAAACCAGATAACCAGACCACGCCCACTACGCCAATCTTTGTAACTTGACATTCTCCCCCTAGGGCGGAATCCCGACGAATTGATTGCTAGGTAAATTCCAATCCGGCCTCGCTCTTTGGCATACCTCGCTGTGGAATTCACCATCCCCCAAGAGTATCCCACGGCCGAGGTATCCCACGACCAAGGCACAAAGAGGCGCTCGCCCTGAGAGAGCAATTGCGCTAACAAGCCATCAAACAGCTTTTGCGTCATCCCTCCTGCACCCACGCTGCAACTGCGCATCGCTCACTCCCTGCGGGCAAGCCCCCCCAAGACATTCATCCCACCACCGGTGTTGATGCTCCTTACCTGGGTCTCAACCCCCGACTGCCTCCTTCTTTCTCAAGAGTCTTAATCATGTTCGCCTCCGACTCTTTCCTGCCATCGGCCTTTACCGACCACGATCCCAACATGCCGCCTTCTGCCGTCATTTCTCCATTGTCACTTAATCGAATGGCGAGCTCCTGTTACTTCGACAATAGATCGACCACGACGACGAGCGCCACGGGCAACTCCATTTACTCCCCCCAATCATCCGGCGCCGTGCGCTATCCGCCGCAAACGCAAAGCCTTCTTTCACCCCATTTACCTCCCAACGGCGTCAACGGCATAAGCGGTATCAGAGAGACGATTGCGAACGATCAAATACCAAGAGTCGTTTCGCCGGCTCAGTTCGAACATTTCAACGGCCACAACCCCTCCGCATTTGCGTCGGCGGCCAGAGTCTCCCCGAACGGAATGCCTCACCCACGATCAGTCTCTGCCGATGCAGCCTCGGCTCCTGCGTCTGCACAAATTACTAAACGGCTTGCCCAGCAAAATGCGCGAATCCGTGAGGCATGGGAAGCCGAGCGCAAGTACATGGAAGCCAACCGCGAACGTGTCGAGGAAGTATACAAGGAGGAGCGGATGATTATGGAAGACGAGCGTCTTGCATGGGATGCCGAAAGGAACGACCTGACGGAGCAGATCCGCCGCCTCAAAGAACAAGTTGCAGCGATCGACAATGACAAGATTCGGCTGCAAGGTGCGCTGCAAAGAGCCGAGCTAGAGAAGGCGGGCAAAGTCGCCGGCGTCACTGTTGCAATTCCAGGAACAGGAACGCGAGGTGGGGCCGACGGCTCCACTGAACTTTCTTTCCCAGGATTCTCCTCGCAACCCAATGACGCGCGGTTCGGCCTCTCGAACGGCACTGGACAGCGGAGGCCAACTAATGGCTCTGCCTCAGCCTCCGTCTCGCCAGCCCAGATCCGATCTCACTTTATTAGTCCTGGTAGTTCCCGGATTTCTCCCTCTAGGCAACCAGAGTCTTCGCCCTTCATCCCACTCAACCCCAATATGCAGCCCACTACCGCCGATCCCGTCGACTTCCTCGGCTCTCCCAAGGACGAGGAGCCCGTTCCCATTGTCGACATTCAAATCATTAACCCTCAGCTCGAGGGCGTCCCCCTCAAGGCACCCGCCATTCAAAAGAGCACATTCATCGACTCTGGCATGACCCCTCCGGAAAACTCAAAGAACTCTTCCAGAGCCGTTTCCCCGCCTGGAGAATCTGGCAAGTCCAGGCGCAGCCCTACCCAGGAACACACCCTCGAGGTGCTCGCCGCCCCCGAGCCTGCCAGACTCGTCATGCACGCCGGCCACACGCCCAGCCATTCTCTCTCCGTCCTGGGAACAGCTCCTGGCACAGAAGTTGCGACAGTTGCTGACGGCAGTGGAGGCTCTACACCGACTTTGGCACCGACAGACATGAGCTCGAACCCGGCAACGCTGTATGATGTCAGGGCCAGAGCAGACTCATCCGATCTTCAGGATGACGTTTACGGCGGTACCGAAGAGCCTCTCCCCACGTTGGAGGCGGCAGATGACGTTGCCCTGAAGGGCCCCCTGATGGTTCGCAATATCCCTGCTCATGACGAAATCTTCTTCAAGCGTCTGTCCGAAAAGCTCGAAGACGTGAGCAGCGGCGCCGATGCTGTCCCGACATGCATGAAAGCGCCAACCCCGGAACTCGTCGAAGAGCCTTTGGAGGCGAAAGAGAACCTTTACGTAGCAAAGGTGGACACAGATGCCGCCAGTGACAAGGGTTCAACCAGCGACAGAGCTTCTTTCTCCGATAGAGATGACATCTCCGAATCGCAGAGCAAGCTCGAGGAAATTGACATTCCGCTCAAGCTTAAGCAGAGCACCAACTTTGGAGCTCCCTTGGGCGCCATGTTCTGAACCTCGCAGAATCAACTCACGACACTCTTTTTCGCAGGAGCCAGTTCTCCTCAATACTACAGCCGAAACCCACGCATAGACTTTTCATAATCTCCGATCCCAGTCTGCACATACGATCACCCGCCTCTCTGTACAAAGTTGTGGACTTTCTACACTCACTTGGTTTTGGCTTTTCACAATAGACCAGCCCCTTTACCCCTTTCCTATGTATATTCCCACACGGTGGGCGGCTTGCTTTTCAATTCCCCGGCGATAGACAGGATGACTGGAAGGGTTCCCTCAGCGCTCCGCGGAGCAGCATCACTCGATTTTTCTCAATGGAACGGATTTCACGGTGTTTATATAAAAATGCACAATACCCCCCGGAGGACTGGAATTCCTTCTCACGAATTGGCTTGGTTGTTTTTCAATGGATACGGTGTCGATGGAGGCGCATACGCCTAGGAATTAGTGGAGGAGGAAGCAGGGAGAAATCGACGCGATGGACGTCGTAGATGGGAGGCAAGGGGGAGTTGATCCCTAGACCCCCATTAGCAAATTGACAATGCAACAACTAGATGGACCGGTGCGTGGTTTCTGGAAGTTGGTTGCAAGAAGCAATGTGTATAGGCATAGCCGAACAAGAATTCAACATTGCTATCACGGCCATTGACCGTTATTTTGTCAACGCATACATTGTCCACCATTATCATCATGCCTGTGACTCTTGAAGACTAGTGTGGCAGAGTCACTACAAATGATTATACATGTACGAAGTCAGAACAATGGTATTAAATTTGATGTTGATATAGCTCATGATATGCATATTCCCTCCCTCCTCTTCCCTTCCCTTCCTATTTCCCTCTTCACCCACCCGTCCTCCCAGCGATACTAGTAAAGTGGCGAGTGTGGTTTAGACCAAGAATCCAAGCACATTTGAAAAAAAGGGCTGCAATACACAGTTACGCAGCAGGTCATCGATGATCCACCCCCTTTCGGAGATGAGCGTTGATGATGAATTGGGCAGTGACTGATACTCCCCCCTGACCCGTTTCCTAATACCGAAGACGAAGGCTCGAGTTTGACAAAACTGTTTCTTTCGACAGTATTTGCACGAATTCAAGGTTCGCCAGGGGATCGAGGGATTGGGTGGCTGGTATTACGCAGCCCCCAGAGTGGTGGAGGAGGAGGGGATCTCTAATTCAAGGTAAATCATTCCTCATTCAGCTTTCCATCAATTTGGCCGTTTTCAAATCCTCGCAATCAAATCATCCAAAAGCTCGCCCGTCTCCCCGGGACTCGCGATCCACGCCGTGGTACCCACGCTCCGCGCCTTGAAGTCGTTGCTGCCCGCGCTGAGGAACTGGTCGCCAATGTGCAGCGTCTTCTCGCCGGCGATGGGGGTTTCCGGGTGTCCCGCTTTGGCGGCGAACCAGCGCTGGCAGACGGTCACGCCCCACGACTTGTCGCCAATGTCGACGAAGACGTCACGGCCTCCGTTGAAGGCGCAGAAGGGGACGCGGCGGCGGGTGGTTGAGGAGGAGGACTCCTTTGCGTCAGCGGAGGACGTGTGCGCGATTGTGCTGTGGCCGGCTGCTTGGGCGGGTGAGCCTAGCGCAGAGAGCTCGAGAATCTTTTGGACGACGAGGACGGTTTCCTCGAGGGACTCGCGCGGGATGCGGACGGCCGGGTCGGTTGCCACGATGCCGACGGCGCGGTCTTTGCGGAGGAGCGTGGCGGGGAGGTTGAGCGTGCGGATGCACTCGAGCAGCGCGCCCTCTGCGACGTCGAGGAGCGCAGAAATGTCGGCGTCGGACCAGGATGCCATTTCGGGAGTGAGCCATTGCTCTTGCGGTACGGGGCTCAAAAGGTGCGGGGAGGACGGGTCGTATTCGAAGAGGTAGTTTGCTTCGCCGCCCATGATGACGATGGAGGCCTTTTGGGAGGGGGATAGGGAGGGGGAGGCGGCGATGGCGTCGAGGAGGCCGTGGAGGCGGTCGTAGTAGCGGTCTGCTGTTGTGTAGCCTGCTGCTGTGACGATGCCGATTTTGATGTCGCGGCGGAGGAGGGAGAGGAGGCGGGGGATTAGGGGGGAGGTGGGGAGGAGGGATTCGCCGTCGTCGTAGAGGGTTACGTCTCCGTCAAAGGTTGCGAGTTGGAGGGTGGTGGTGGAGGAGGAGGATAGGCTGGAGCTGGGACTGCCGGGACTGGGACTGGTGACGGCGAGGATCTGGGCGGCGTTGAGGATGAGGCGGACGTCGTTGAAGGAAGGGGAGACGTAGCGGCGGGAGGAGATGAGGCGTTTTGCGTCCATGAGAGTGAATGCTGCTTCGAGGGGGAGGCGGGTGAAGAAGGGCCCTGCCGAGGGGACGAGCATTTTTAATTTTGAGGGGAGGTCTTCGTCTTGACGGGTTACTGTTGGTGTGTTAGTCTGACAACTTAGTCTATAGAGGAGAGGGGTGGATGAGGTCAAGTCAGTGAGATGAGATTGGAAGAAGCTTACTGTGGTCGTCAATCATGTGCTCGACGTCGCGAAAGATTTCGGCGTAACGGCGGTGGGATTCCTCTGCCATGCGGGCTATGCTCGTCGCTCTCGTGTCGAAGACGCCGGTGGGCTGAGAGTAGAGGACGAAGGGGACTGCCAGGAGACCTTTGATCCATTCTGGAGATGAGAGTTAGCCAGTTGCTATGTGAGGGGAGAGCTTGGTCGGTAGGCTTTGGACATCGGGGAGGGGGTGAGGGCAAGGTGGCCGACGATGATGAGCTAGAGGGTAGTAGGACAGCGACTTCGCTGCCGGCTAGAATCTTGATCATTGTCACCATTCCAGGTTTCCCTTGAGAAAGAAGTCTGTTGTTGTTGGCGAAGCTGCCATGAGAACCTTTGGACACTTGTCATGAGACTCGATGAGCTTGGCAGATGCTGCCGTACCTATGAACTGGTCTCTTCTGTGGGTCTTGAGAGCGTCTGTACGAGCGTTAGTTGATGACTTCGTCTCAATGAACAGATGACAGTATGGTCTGCTTACACTCTACCCTGTATCTTGTCGTCATGATGGGCTACCTTCGGATTCGAGGTCAAAGGTTGAGAGTGAGGTTGAAGATGACGGGGTGAGGAGGGGTAACGGCTCTGTAGAGGGGTAACCGATTCTTGTTACTATCTTCCAGTCTTGTATCAAATCTGTGAGATTGTGAGATTCCCAGTGACGAAGTGAAGCTTTAGAAGTTGTGTATATGGCAGCAGGATGAAGTAGTATCAAGAAGAGAAGAGGTTGTGTTGTAAGAAGGAATGCAGTTAGAGTCTCCGTGGTGAATAACGAAGTGAGGTTGAATTCCACCGCCCATGGAGCTCGGGTTCCACCTTTTCCCCCAACTGAGGAGTCTGAGGTGCAGGCTCCAGTGGTCCGGCGGTCCACATTCGGGGGAGAGCTGCTGCAGCTGCACCTGTCGCAGGCGGAATGCACCAGTGCCAGGGGTGCGCTGCAACGCTAACATCTACCGGAGGCCGCCGCTACCCGGCTGGCTCAGTTCAACTTGTTCAGGGTTCACTGGGGGAGATTGGGGAAACGCAACTGCTGTGACCCCGCTTTGGGATGCATTCGTACTTCATGGTTTGTGTTTATGACTGAGGCGGTTGTCGTTTACCTACTAGTTGGACATGGAGTAAGGTATCGTGTATGAGAGACTGTAAGATTGATAGCGTGCTTCGCCGGCTTCACATCCATGGCTCTGCCTTTCTCAGATTGGGGGAAATCCACACTTTGAGTCGTTGAGTCACGGATACACTCCAAACTTGAGGACAATACCTGAGGTGCCTGAGTGAACCGCATGGAATAAAGCTGAGAGAGGCTGCAAGCGAAGCAGTAAACTGTGATCATCTCTTGGACCGCGCTCAAGACGCAGATCAACCCACGAGGTGACAGTCAAAGTTGGGCGCCGAAAGATTCAAGGGATACAGACGTGGTGTTCAATCACCAACACAAGTCACAACCGAGACTTCCCACAGTGGGCTTTCACAATCGTCTTCCGGATGCATGAATGAAAAGCAAGCGCAATGCCGAGTCAACATGCAGCCCGGAGCACTTCGTTTTCGTGACATCGCGAGTTATATGACTTGACACGGCGTGAATGACAGGGCACCTACGACCAAAGAGCTTCAGGAGTACTGGGCTCGTACACTACGCCATTAACAACAACGCCCTTGATCAAAATATGAGAAAGGCTCCCCAAAAGGAAAGCTGCGACTGTGATGGAGGCACCGGACGAGATGTTGGAGCTGTGGGGGGCTTCTTACCTTCTTAGGCATTTTAAAGCTCGAAGTTTTCCATCATCCGAGTAGGATCGATAGCTCAGTGGTAGAGCGGGCGATTGCAGTTCCATGCAGTTATCGCCAGGCCCCGCGTTCGAACCGCGGTCGGTCCTATCGTTTTGCCCACATCGCGGATATAACTTCCTTTTGGTCGGGCACGAGCAGGAATGAATTTATGACATCTTTGCCCTCGGTAAGCCCCAAATCTGAGCTTGTACGTAGTGTTTTTTTGAATTTCGTCGAGCGCGAACGAGTAAAGTTCATCCAACCTAATCCTGGCTTACCACACACCATCGTTGAGGCAGCATAAGCTTGCCAATCTGCCAAACCTTCGTTCTTCACACCGAAACGGCAACGACGTCTTTTAGGGGCATACTCTATCATATTTACACAAGCATTACACTCGAGTGTCGCCCGTAGCCTGCAACTCGAAGGTCCCAAGTCGGTCTTAGTCATGCCTGTGAAGCCTTAGTCCGGAATACCCAGCAAATGGATGCAAGGCGCAGGCTAAGATGGATGGATATCTCTTTCGCGAGAGACACAAGATGATGTCGGAATAGGGAATTCAACCACCGTAAAACCGAGTGACAGAGTTCAACTGATGCTGAGTGAGTGCAATGATACATGTCGTTCTACGCCCTAACGACCCGAAAGTGTCATCTTCAAGGTTTACCGGGATACGGAAGACGGTAAAATTCGACGACACTTTCGGAGCCAAGCCAATCACAGTTCACCACTTTTGAAATCTCCTGACTGAAATCGAACTGAACGAGAAGAGACGAACGTTGTTGATTGGAAAACCCGGGCAATCTTTCGGCCCCGGGGCTCGTAGAACGGCCGCCCGAAAGCACGTTCCGAAACGGAGTAGTCCGCTCCTCTTGGAGCTGGCGGGGTTCGGGCATGGCAATATCGGCCGAACTCTGGGGAAAACACAGGATGGGATCGCTGCACCGAATTTGAAGTCGAGAGATCGTCGTGAAACAATGCAACATGTTACGGTTACATGGAGCTAAGGACCTTTGTTATCCTGTGACGAATGAGAGGGGTTCGCTTGCTAATGGGGACGGAATCGGGGGTGCGGGCGAGTGAATGCCGATGACCAGGTTCGAGGCGACTTGGAAAGGGTGTGTGTAGTGATATCATGTTTGCATGGAAGCACAAAACGTAGAGGGTTTTTATAAAGAGTCTGTTTGGCCGATTCCCCAATATTACTGGGCATCAATTTGTGTCCTTGAAGCCCATCTTCAGACCAAGGAAACAATATGCTGCAATCCTTCAGCCTCAGCGAGGCCCGGTGGTCGTTGATACTGGTCTTACCAGTCGCAGCGTCTAGCTTAGTAAGTCATATGTCCATGTTTGTCACAAATCCCATGAGCAAGCACAGTTGTCCAGGGCGAGGCATCAACGACAAACACTCAACCACCATCACCAGATCCTCGCATACTTCCTAGGATACGCCGCGTACCAGCTCTACCTCAACCCCCTCCGCAAATTCCCCGGCCCAAAACTATGGTCAATCTCCTCCGTCCCCTACGTCCGCGAATTTATCGCCGGCACCTGCCACCTCAAAATCCTGAAACTCCATCAGAGGCACGGCCCCATTGTGCGGGTAGGCCCCAACCACCTATCCATCAACCACCCAGACGGCATGCAGGAGCTCCGCGGCCACCGCAAGAGCTACACCGGCGAGAACGGAAAGGACCCTGTCAACGCCCTGCCGAACCGCGACAACATCATCGGCTCCGAGCGCGGGGATCACAGCCGCTTCCGCAGGGCGCTGGCGCACGGGTTCTCGGCGCAGTCGATGCTTGCGCAGCAGCCTATTATCAAGGGGTACGTCGACACCCTCTTTGAGAAGTTGCGGGCGGCATCGCGGGGTGGCGAGGAGACGGTGAATGTGGAGAAGTGGTTCAATTTCACCACGTTTGATGTTATTGGCGATTTGGCGTTTGGGGAGCCCTTTGAGTGTCTTGAGGACAGCAAGTATCACCCCTGGGTGGACCTCATCTTTAAGAGTATCAAGAACATGGCCATGTTGACGAGTTTCCGGCGTCTGCCGTGGCTGAAGCCGCTTCTCATGTTGACGCTTCCTAAGGAACTGATGAATAAGTATGCTCAGAACCGGGAACTATCGAGGGAGAAGGTGCGGAAGAGGTTGGAGCTTGGGAAGAGCCGGCCTGATTTTATTGATGCCATGATCAGGAAGTCAGAGTCAGCAGGACAGGTACGTGTAGCCACTTTCCGTGTCCAGGTCCCCAGATGCAGGTTACTTCTTCTGGGTACAGGAGGCTGACCATTTGCAATCAAACATAGACCATGTCGTTCGAGGAGATGACATCCAACGCCATGGTCCTCATCATTGCCGGCTCAGAAACGACGGCCACACTGCTGACCGCGGCAACGTACTTCCTCGCCAGCAACCCGCGCGTGTTAGCCAAGCTAAACGATGAAGTCCGGTCGGCGTTCACGACGGAGGACGAGATCGACATGCTCAGCGTGCAGAACCTGCCGTACCTCTTGGCTGTCTTGGACGAGAGCTTGCGAATGTTCCCGCCGGTGCCTGGTCCCAGCCCGCGGGCGATTGGCGAAGGGGGCGATACGATTCTGGGCGAGTCTATTCCGCAAGATGTAAGTTCTTTCCCCGGCGTCTGGGTTATAGGGTTGTGAGAAGTTACGTGTGCGCTGACTTTGAGAATCGTGTGTTCTAGACTGTCGTGGATGTGTGGCACTGGTCACTTTACCATAACCCCGATCACTTTGCTTTGCCGGAAGAGTTCATCCCGGAGCGATTCTTAGGCGACCCGCGGTTTGCGAATGATGCAAAGCATGCTCTACAGCCGTTTTCCGTCGGTCCTCGTAACTGCATTGGAAAGAAGTTAGTAACCCTCAGCCGTGCTTCACAGCTTAGATGAGCAAGTCGTCGTCTTTAGGAACCTCGCTGACAGATGTTTATCTAGTCTTGCCTATGCCGAGATGAGGTTGATCCTGGCGAGGCTGATCTGGAACTTCGACATACGACCAGCTGCCGAGACCCCGAAATGGTACACTGAGACCAAAGTGTACATTCTGTGGGAGAAAGGCGGATTGGATGTGTACCTGACACCTCGGGTCTTGGAAGAATGAAAGTGAGTTGTCCATAGTGGTCATGCACCGGGAGGGAAAGCCTGTGTGCAGGGATGGTGTTGCTCATTTTGTGCATCTATAAAGTTGAGACGTGAGACTGAAGGAAATGCAAGGGAAAATGCAGGAAGAACGCCTTCAATATGGCCTAGATATTTCAAGCACTGCTGGCCACCCACTGGGATGCGCGAGCCTCACCAACAAATCATATCAAATGCATGCTTCCTTCTTCAAACCAAAGCGAACAGTTACTTCTGTATGCGAGGAAGCCAACCTTGATGGGAAATTGTGTGCCCAGAATAAAAGGGTTGCTGAAGGCGATTTCCGTAGTTGCTAGAAGCTCCGGAATTGAGCCGGACTCATCTCCGCTGCGGCAGGCAGCTCCCTCATCTGTGCTCTTTCATTGGTTTGTTCCCAAAGCTCCACCCTTGCATGGAAATGGTGGCCTCAGTCCCCACACCCACTCCTCCTGGGGCGCCTATATAAGCTCGACCTCTTCCTCGCCTTTGCTTGTTTTCCCTTTTCCTCTTCTTCATACTTACCTTCATGGGCGGTCTGGCGATCAAGAAATCCGGACCGCAGAGAGGGATGCCTGCATTGCACATCGCGGAGTAGACCTCTCTCGATTGTCCTTCGGGGCCATCGCTGTGGCAATTTTTGATTTTCACCTTTTCCATTTTCATTGTGTCCATCTGCTGCGTGCGGTGGTATGAAGAAGATGTGCAGGCTCCAGGCCTCCGGACCGGGCAGCCACCAAAGGTAGAAAAGTACCTTGATGGCCAAGTGACAAAGGCTGTCATTCCATATATGTCAGGTCAATTCTATTCCTGTCACCAGCACAGCAGGCGTCCTCTAGGTCGGGGGTCAGGTCAAACTGTGGCGTGGATGGTGGAATGGTTAATGGTCAACAATTAATTACGCCAACCAGCCTACTCGACGACAGGCTAAGCGACCGACTTCGAATCCCAGCATGAGCACCAAGAGATGTAGCCCCAGTTCAGCACCGGGGGGTGAACTCTTTTGCTATTTGAATTGATTTTTTGGTGATGTTTTTCAAGTGCCTGCCTTTGTGATGTTTTTTGGTGTTTTGATACTGCGATCCCGAGTGGTGAGATGCTTAGTCATCGATTATTGGGACCGAAACGTCCCTCAACACCTTCAGTTGAGAATGAAACGTATTGTCGCGCGTCGTGCCAGGGGAGTCCAGACGTGCCGAAAGGTTCAATAGAATACTGTGACTGTATAGCAACCGTCAGCGCTGGCTTACGAACGAACAGGATGTTGCACTGACTGACTCTGGTGATCGAACTCCACATCACTGGGCTTGAGTACGGGCCTGTTTCCACGAACTCTCTCCAATAAAAGTCCGAGACAGCAGGACTAGGTGATCCATTAAGTAGCTCGATGTTTTCTTCAGGACCTGTCCAGCTCGACTGCTTGAGACGCGCATTATCGTGTCGTGGTCGTTGTCGAAATCCATTTAGTCGATGATCCTTCATATAGCCGAAGAGGAGCGACAGGGTCAGACGGATATCTGGCCCTAGTCACACCATCCAGCCGGAAGGTCCCTGTGGAATCAATAGATTCTGTATGCCTGGGAAAGATCGATAAAGCATTTGCCTCATTTCGCCTCGATATCCTTCTTCCCATTGAGTAAGAAGTACAACAGCTCTCAAGGCAATTGGGTGTTTGACAGAAAATCGTCAAAGGGTCACGAAGTCACCAACCGTTCTTTGCATAAAAGCTGTTCAAGGGCCATTCAGGTTCGTGACAATATCTTCAGGCTGTGCCTATCCCGGGCATCTGGAGACTGGGCGGTAGAAGCCTCCCGCGTAGGGCATCTTGGCACCACCGAGGTCGCATGTCTGTGTATCTAGGGGATGTTGAAAGCAAAGTAGGCCAGGGTGAAAAATCCATCACGCTCTTTACTTATTTTGCGTTAACGTCTTCGTTCACGAATACGTCCGAACTGCAAGAAGAGTAGGAATACTAGTAGAGATCTATATCTAACTTTGTTACCTGGCTCGCATTCCGATTATCTTCGTTTACGAATACGTTCGAAAGCAAGGAATAGTGGGAGCGCTAGATGGGTATTTAAGTTTAAGGCTTATGGCCAGTGTTACCGTACCTGTCTTGTTAGATTCATCGTGCCCCTGCTACTGGGGTGACGTGGGCGACCACTCTCCTCACCCGATGTGCTTCCCATGCAGACGTGCGGGCACCGCCGGTCCACGCGCAACTATTAAAAATAAGGTATTCTGGCGAGATGTGCTTTCTTATATGCCTTCATTGCTCCCATAATACTGGCGATGTCGAGCCCAACGTCGATTTTAGTCCAAGGCACTGTTAAAGATCAGGCAAAAGCTTCAGCACTAACGAGGCTCTGACCCGGTTCCAGCTTAACAGATCACCTGAACGACAGAATCGTCGCTTGGTTTGGCGTGTATTTTTTAGGAGCTCGTCAGAGCGACGGAAACTGGGGGTACGTGATGACAATCCTGTTGCCAATCAAGAAGGTCTCTAATGTGGACGCCTCCATCGTGCGCGAAGGCTTCTAAACCCCTGCTCTGTCCATCATCCCTCGTCCTTTTGTACATGAGTGACTCTGTCAATTTCAAATGATAAATACCAAACTCACCTGTCTAACGTATGCTTAAAGCTCTGGATACCGGCTGGAAGCACACCATGCTCAGAGCCTGTGGTGCCGTTCAGTCGGATCAGAATAGGACCAACAAACAACTTGAATGACATATGAGACCACTGCTAGTGTTAGAACTCTTTCTGCTAGATCACAGTCCCTATGGCTTGACTTGGGCATTGTCAACAGTGCCTACATTAGTTCATTCCAGAGTACACAGAAAAGAGATGGAATTGCTTCTCACCCTACGTAGATCAATTACCTAGACTCCTATACGACACGCAGTGACAAGCCCAAACGCACCTCTTTAAGCCACTGTACTTGTCAGAAAGAACAATGGAGAGCAATATGAAAGGCGGTAATCTCCCTTCTTGTTCATCTCTCTCCCGGGCATTGATCCTATCGACCCCTGATCCTCTTAATAATAATGAAAAGACAGAAAGCCGAACGCAGCCCCTTTCGCTCTACTGAATCCCGTTTCCTTAACGTATTCGTCACCCCAATCGGTCGGACGACGGACAAGTAGAAACGACCGTAGTTTTGATAAATGGGTACTCTATCTTGACCTCTACCTTATCACATTGGTTCCAAAGCTCCCTCAATCAAACGAAGCTCGACCCGTTCCCCGTCGTCACCCGCTCGATGTGATGTGCGATCAGCTTCTCGCATTCATTTGACAGTGGCCTCATTTTATGCCAAGTCGTTATGTAGAAACGCGGGAGCACTACACTGAAAGACATGCTTTATCAACTCTAGAAATAGAAGCTCGGCTTACATCTCTTAGCAAACCCGAACTGTTCCCCGCCATTATTGCTATATCTATGTTAAATTAGCTTCTTTGGAGTTCCGAGGATACGAGACATGCCATAAAGCTCTTATCGTATCGTAAAAGACCGGACCGGACTCTCTCCAAGGTCAGTAATGCATCCAGTCTTTGCTATGAACGCGCACTCCTAGAAGAGTACAGGCTATAAGATTCATAAGACAGCATCAAGTACTCACGCTCATTATCTTACCTTTCAAAAGGGACGAATACGGGCGGGGAACACGACGAGAAAGGACGAACGCGTTGCTACTATAAGATGAGCAGTCAAGTCGGCCAAAAGTACCCATCTTCACTCCACCTAGGCATCCCTCAGGTCCCCCAGCCCCCATCATCTACGCAGAAATACCTCCCGTAGCCAGCCCTCCTGCACAAACATCTCCCCTGGCTGGGGTTGCTTATCCACGTTCGGAGTTGGAATCCCCACCGCCGTACAGTTCATCCTTCTGATATCTACTTCAAGACACTTGCTGAACAAGTTTGTAGGATGCCCATGTGGAATAGAGCAAGACATTCCCTGGCCTTACATCGATTGCACAAATGTATATGCTCTAGGTTCATTAGGGAAAAGGCAGAAAATCAAATCAAATGTGCCAAGGTTCACGCAAAGGCACGAGGAAACCATCAGATCAACGAATCGATTGCTCATATTTCCCGCTCATCCCCCTCATCCAGGTTTGACATCCCACCCGAGGTCCATCTTCTTGTGGCCTTCGCATACCCATCCGCCAGTCATCCAACAAAAGGGACCATACGAGAAAGGAAGGAGAGAGCTGCAAAGAAAAGAAGAGAAAATCAAAAGAGGACGCTGAACACGACGCTGTGCTGTGAAGTGATACAGAACCCTGGTATCCCTGAATTTGAAAAGAAAAAGGATGGAGTCCTGAACCCCCCCCCCCCCCCCCAAACGCCACCCTTACGCTTTGCCGAAAGCCGTTGAATCCAGACCAATGGGGGGTTTTTTTTTTGAATATCCCTGTCTTGCAACCGACCTTGAAAGACATGTCATCAGTGGACAATTATCCGCCTGAATACATGGGAGTTGTATGTACGTTTCGGCCCAATCTGACGTAAATCAGAAAGGAGACCTGCGAATGTTTGTGGACTTGAAACAAGGACGCCAACACAAGTGCAAACACACTGCAATCATTCGTCGTCAAAGATCTCGTAGGTGTTTTGCAGAATTGTATCGACAACCTTGATCTGCCATCCGGCATCGGCGATGCTAGTTGCCGGATCGGTACCCATGACCGTGGGGCCAAAGATGACAGAGAGGTTGTGGGAGTTCATCCGGTTGACGTGGGAGTTCTCCATGACGCGGTGGAGGTGCAGGGTCAGCGAGCGCAGAGTGGCGTAGTTGGGATCGGGGAGGCTGTTGATGATGGCGTGGAGGGAGTCTCGGCGGACGATATCATCCTCTTGTTCTAGGAGGGGTCAGTACTATTCTAAGTAGTCAAGCAAGGACAACTTACTGGCTGCCTCAACCAACTCGCTGTGGTGCTCTGTAGTAAGCAGAGGGTTGGGGAGATCACGCAAGAACTGCTTCAACAGGCCAGTAACACTATTGACGTCATGGTAAAAGTTCTCGGGGTTTCTGAAATCCAACGCTGGGTTGCTCGAGTCGGTGTCGAACATGGTCTTAAGCTTGTTGATGTGTGTCAACGAGCCGGACTGTCGGTAAATACCCTCGACGCCAAGTCCGTAGAGGTCCACTGCCTGGATACACTGATAGACGACCATAGGCACAGGCAAGCCGTCTCGCTCATACAGGCGAGGCAGGCTTAGCCCGAATGTGGGCCTCGCGGCATTGGGCGACGGTCCGGAAGAACCGCCGAGAGGAGGGGACTGTCTGTTCTGTTGCGGGTAGCCTCCTGCACCTGGTGGTGGTCCTTGGGGAGGGTATTGTTGTGCCGGGGGAGGCTGGTGCTGCTGAGGAGGCTGGTACTGGCTTTGCGGCGGCGGCGGCGCCCGTTGCTGCTGTTGCTGCGTTGGCGGAGGCGACTGCGAAGTCTGGAATGGCAGGGCTCCCAGCTGTGGCGGTCCCTGGGAAGACATGCCACCGCTATTGTATGTTGGCGCTACAACACCAGAGTTGCGGTTCGACTGGAATTGTTGTTGTTGGCTAGGCTGGTTCAGCATACTGTTTGTGCTGAAGCTGCGCCCATGTTGTTGCACCTGAGGGGGTTGCTGCTGCTGAGACGATGGCCTTGGCTGTTGGGCGGCCGGCATGTTAGGGGGCGCAAAGCTTTGGGGAGAATCGGATGGCGGTTGGAAGTTGCCTGGTCTAGCAGGAGGTGGCATATCTCGTTGCGGTTGCTGATTCAGTCCTCCTGGCGGCCCAGAAAACTGTCCGGGTGGCGCCGCTTGCGGTACGTTCGATACCGAAGCATTGGGCTGGTGACCCATTGCTTGCTGTCGAGCGGTTGCCAAGATCGGGTTCTTCTCGTACTTGACCTCGCCGTTGTTGTTGGCCACCTTCGAGTGGTGAGATGTCAGGTAATCGTGGAGGTCCTTCTCGTTGTTGATGGCCAGAACGGCCTCGCGAAGACTGCGCGGTCCTCCGCCAGAACCCTGGCCCTTGAAGGGGCTAATACTAAGGCCGTTACTCAAGAGCAGCTTCTCATTGAAGGAGGCTGTGACTGTGTTAGCTCAAGCTTCTTCAGGAGCGACGTGAGACCTACCAAACTTCTGCATTTGCAGTGCCAGACCAGAATCAGTCTCCTTTACCAAGTCCTGAAGAGCGGAGATGGCCTCCGGTCTCGTTCTCGCAATCAATTCAGCCTTCTCACTCTGCAGCGTCTGTACCTTGGCCTGGTAGTCCTGATCGGCGCCCTGGGCTTTGCGCAAAAGGTCCTCCTCGTGCTGGGGGCCAGACTTGGACTTCAAGCTGAACATTTTGCCACTGTTCCTGCTTGTGTCGCCGGTGCGCGCGCGGTCGTACTCTTCCGCCAAACTGTCGTATTTGGCCTTGGACTTGCGCATCGCAGCTTCCAATTCTGCCACTCTGTGTTCCGCCGCCAAGCCGTTGGCCTTCCACCCTTTTCTGCTGCGCTCCGCTACGGCAGCCAGCTCGAGCAGGTCGTCGTGCATCTGTTGTAGTGAGAGGGCGAACTGTGTTCCGTTTTCGGCCATGCGCTCGTGAATATACATCATTTCGCTGTAGGCCTGGGCAAAAGAACCCTGCCTGTGATCGGGCTGGTGCATTGTTTCCTGGCTTATACGAGATAATTTTTTGAGTGAGGAGGCGTGGCTTTCTTCGATGTGTGATCGCTTCTTGAGGAAGAGTGCAAATTCCTAGAGTCTCTGTCAGCAGCTGTCACCCTCGTTGGGGGTCGGGGTCGAGACTCGGTCTCACCTTTGCGGAAGCGATGCTCGCCTTGAGCTGGTTCAGCATGGTTGCGACACCAATCTGGGCCATTGTCAGTGTTCGGGTGGACCGGAGAGAGAGCAGACGGCGTCCTTACATCTGATGACAGCACTTCTTGGACCTGGCGCGAGACCTCAGAAGTAGGCGTGGAGCCCACGTCGGCACCGGCGGGGGCGCCGCCGTTTGCCGTTGCGGCCTCTCCATTCTGTGAGAGAGCAGCGGTTTCTGTGTTTCCTAGCGACATGCTGCTTGCTCTGTCGCGCTGTTCGTTGTGGGAGGGTAGATTGTCGTCGGATGGGGAGCGGAGGTCGGCCATTTTGAGAGGTCGGGGGGGAGTTGAGCAATGCGGCGCAAGTCTAGTCAGGTAATACGAGATAGAGGCTCGGGCTCAGGTGGCGGCAGGCTGCTTGCGAAGACGGGACGAGACAAGGAAGAAGCCAGGACAGGCGTTGTTTCGAGACGTGTAGGAGTGAGTTGATTGAGGGCGCGAGCTTTGCGGGTTCGCGGCTTTGCCGTGGTGAGAGGTAGATTCCCGGTGCGACGGTAGTGGTGACCGTGAGCGAGCAGAGTTGGGGGATGTGTTTAGGTGGAGAGGCAGGGGGTGAAACGGAGGTAATTCATGCGAGAGGCTCGATGATGGGTTCGTGGGAGGATGGGTCGTCCAATGTGACCGGTCGGACGGGGAAGTGATGGGTATTGTGCGGATGAAATGTGGCCTTGGATACACGGATGAGCGCGGGACGGGCGACGATGGAGGAGGAGGTGGTGGTGGTGTGCTGCACAAGATGGACGCCGCTTGTGCGTGGGTACCTGGGCAGCTGCTGATGGACCAGGGGAGCACACGGAGAACGGATTAACGTGGGACGAGTGAGGGACCACGACCTAGAGCAGCAATCGATGGAGGCGACGGGCGAGAGTGGTACGTCAGGGACCTATCTACCTTTGGTAAGGTAGGTGGCTGAAGGTAGGATGGTAGTGGACGTTTAACGGTGTTGACGCGTGGAATTGGAACTTGAAGAGACTTGATCTGGAATAATGCCGGAATCGACAATGGGAATGGATGTCTCGGGCTATTTTTTTCTTTCAAACTCATGAATACTTGGGACGAGACTACCACAATACCTATGGAGTATCCGTAGGTACCTACCTACAGGCTACGGTGCCGTGGTCTTAGCGTACATCAGGCAAGGAAGCCGGGCCGCAGGTGCAGAACTGAAGGAAGGAGGGAATGGAAGGAACCTGACGAGTACACGAGGTCCTTGGCTCGCGGCGGAAGGAAGCTGCGAGGTGGAGAAAGGCGACGGGAGAGAAAGAGCGAGAGAGGCAGAGAAATGTCTGAAATCGGCAAGCGACAGCTAGAAGAAACGCCCTCGTCGCACGGCCTTTTTGCAAAGATGCATTCAATGTCTTTCTTTTTGTTTACACAGTTATAACCTTGCGTTTATGTACCTGATTTGATGCCCGACATCAGAGATGCAAACAAAGCACGAGACTAGAGCAATCCGTCCTCGACGCTGGTAGATTGCGATGCTTTGCGATCAAGAGGCACAGGACCATCTAGATGACGAGTGCCACTGCTATGCGCCTCAGAGATGGACGTAAGTCAGTACGTGATGGACAACCACACCTCAACTGCGGACAGTGAGTGAGTTTCTCCAATTACCTATGGAACGAATCCGTACTCTTGAGGAACGATTCAGTTGGATGCTATGAATAGCGACACTGATGTCGACCGTAGCGCAATCAGATCGAGACCCCCGGTGACAAACGATTACTCTAATCTCCTCCCCTCCACTACCATCAAATGGACTCTTTTGCTGAGGCGTCCCTCTCTCTCCACTATCGGGGCTAAAACGAATAAACTGGACCCCCCAGCCTCCCACCCCTCTTCAACTCCATTCGCAAATCACACAGACCTCGCACCACCCGCCACCGCCGCCCCAATCGACAAAACGGGCACGTAGTCTCTTTCGAGCTTAGCTCCCCTCAGTTGAGAGCTGAGCACTGCCCACCCGTGCTCACTGCTCAGCGTTGAAGAATGACGAAGTTCCAACGCGGGATGGATGTCTCTCGATCTTGTTCTGGTATTAGTGAGGCACGAGGTAGCAGTTCACGGCAACCTGAAGCACCAAACCTGTAGATCATCTCAGACCCACGGAACGCAACATCAGCCCAGTGACACATCGCTAAAGGGTACTAAGCAGCCATCGCGCAGGTTTAATTCAACTCGGATACGGATATACTACGGCACGAAGTACACATTGGGCTTCTGAGATGCCTCAAGTGGACTGATCCAGGAAAGGCCCTGTTTCGCGGTGCTCGTATCTTCATCTCTGGTCACATCTGGTCACTTCCCAGCTCGACTATCACTATCAACCAGAGACGGTTGTAGGAAAGTATGTTGAGCAGTCGTACTGAAGCTTTCGAGCTAGCCAAGGGTTCGATTCCTCCAACGTTCGACAATGGAATGCTGACAATTTCTTCAACTGTCGAGCCATTGATGCTGGTTCCACTTATACTTCACGACGAGTTGACAACTCAAGCGACAAGAGAGCTTCCCTCAGCATTCACACTTACACATATTGCTCTCCGCATAATCGACGTTAATCCATCGACTGAAGAATTGATAGCAACTGCCAATCCACCCCTTGGACATCCCAAGTCCCGACCTGGCCCCATCCTCTTGTCATCCCAAAACCATCCCCTCGATGTCGATCTCGTACAAAGTGTATCACACCTGCCCTCCCCTGTCCCAGACACCACGGCAAAATTGCAACTTGGCATCCCGAGTCCGACGTCGGAACTGCGACAGAAGATCTTCAAACCCGCCCAACTCTGGATATCCTTTTTAACCCCCATTCTTCATCCCAAACCCCTAGTTGACCTTGCTCGGCCATTCTCCCCTTCCATTGCAACACTCCATGTCACCTCGACCGTCAACGTCCCTCGCCTAGTTCGATCCACGCCCCGCGGCCGCGTTCGTCTAGTCTAGACTTATATTTAAAGTAACGGATCAAAAACACAAAAAAAAAAAAGCCCCTGGTACCGGAGGTGTGGACTCGAATTGACACCTTAAACGCTTGTCGAGCCGACTTTAACTCTACGCAGGCGATCCCTACCTTCTAGACTTTGGCGGGGGACATCTGACTGACTTCAGACCGCCGAGCACCCACTGATCTTGGTGATATCAGAATGTGATATATCACCACCATCACCTTCAGTAACCAACCCAGTGTCAGCAGCTGCATAACGGACCTCCCATGATGCATAGAGCACCATCACGCAGACATTCATGGAGACGAAGTGGGGCGGAGAAGATGCCATCCAATACGTCGGCCATTCTTCCCGTCATAAGGAAAGTGGACTATGAATTAACATAACTCTCATGGATGCTGCGGGAAGGATCTCAACCACCGATCTCATTCGCAGACGACCGTCTTCAAACTCCACCCATCCGTCGCCCAAGGACCTTGTCTTGGTCCACTGTACATACATGTCGGAACCGGCATGACAGACGTCAGCGTTTCAAGCTTTCGCGATAGTTGTCACTGAGCAGGCGTCGTGCGGAGTCGGTTCAGATCCGGGTATGGATGTTGGTTGCTCAGTGTCAAGTGCCCTTCACGCCTTTTTCTTAGCCATAAATCACGGCAATGATATGCCACCTAGTCCCAGGCGAAGCTGACGAACAAGCGCTCCCCTGATTCCCTTTTAAACCACCCCAAGACATGTGAGACTGAACGAAGCGGACGGGACGTAACATCCGAACAAGTACCGGCTGTCGCCGTAGATTCTAATTTGCATCCTTGACCCGCGGCTTAAAGAAGCCTATTCTATGAGATGGGGCCGGCAAGCTCTTAGCATGCCCTCTTCATGCCCTTCATCAGATGCTCTCCCGCCATCGTGACCCCGGTGACACTATACCGAGACCGAATCCATCACAACCATCTCTACACGTCCCTCCTCGAAGAAACTTGATACTCTCACCCACTACCTCGCCATACCTTTCCTTCACCTCGCCCTGCCGAGAACCCCCAACGCATGACGGTAATCCGCAGCTACCATGACAGCCCCTTGCATCCCCTAGTAAAACATCAAATCCAAAGGCTTCTGCTCATCCCCGTACCGCTCCTTGAACTCCTTCCTCGTCAACCACCGCGCCAGCGGGAGCATCGTGTCCTTCATGTCCATGATGCCGCGCTTCTTCTGGTCAATGTGCGAGGCGTCGACGACGAGGCGCTGGAGCTTGTCTAGGGATAGTGCTCCTGTTTTTTGTGAGTTGTATGATCAGCTTTGCTTCTCGCATGGATAACCGATGTGATTCGGGTGCGATGCACATGTGGGTAGTATGACGGCTGGGAAAATATATCTAGAAAAGGGGGGGAGAAGAGGAAGAATCACTCACCATTGTCTACCAACTCCATGAGTCTGGCGGGCGTTCCGACCGCGATGCCGGTTCGTGTTTTTTGTAGAAATTGGACTTGTTCGAATACCTTCATGTGCTTTGCAAACTATGAATTTCATCACGTTAGCCATACTTCCATCTTCGCCTCCTTGAAGCCGGATACCGGTGACCAAAAGGGTCTTCTCTCTCATCCCCCCGCAATCCTCATATCAAAAGGGGACGAAGAGATTGACGACAAACAAAAATAGGAGCGCAAAAAAAGAGTGAGGGAGAGAAGAGAAAAAGGGCACACTCACAAGCTTGGAAACGGTACTCTCCTTCCCCTGAAACTTCCTCACGGCCCTCACGACGTCCGCCGCCCTCATCCCCGCGGCGGCGACGATGATGGTGTGCGGCGCGCCCTTGACCTTGGGCGCCGTGAAGAGCCTGTCGGGCCTCTCGGCGAACTTCTCGAGGAAGGCGGGGAGGTTGTCCAGGGCGCGGGGTTCTGTCCAGGATGTTGTGTCCTTGATGGCGTTTGCTATTTGTGGTGTTTTAGTACGATTTTTCATCTTTTCGTTTCTTCCACAATCTTCGCTTTCTCTTTGTAGAAAAATTCATGATATATACATGAGAAACGAGTACATGTCAAAACTCACCTGAGATGGACAGGTCCAAAAGTTCAACCGAACTCAGATCCGTACCGAAGCGAGAAATCTTTTGCGCCGTGTAGTCTGCGAGGAGCTGGTTGTCCATGACGGCAAAGGACTCGTTGATGCCCAGCTCGGCGTTGAGGAGCGTCTCGTCGACCTGGTAGGCCGACTTCTTCTTCTGCTTCTTTGCCTTTTGGCCCTCGCCGCCCTCTTGGCTCGGCGCCGCTCTCTTTTTCGCGTTGGACATTATTGTTATGTGTGCCTTTTGTTGAGTTCTGGACTCTCTCTGTTGTTGGAAAGGATTAGTCGACTCAACTCCAGTGAGAATGATAGTCTTTGGGGGGATCGAGAAAAATTGGCGGTTAAGAGTTCCGGTGAAGATTTGGTGTAGTTGATAATGAGATGTTGCTGCGGTTTGAAAATTTCAGCATGTCGGGGAAAATTTGGGTTCGCACTGTGCATGGTTGTCGCAGACCCTTGTACGACACCTGGGAAGAGATCCGTTGGGTGCTTGGGCCCGCACTGGAGCATTCACAGTGCGCATACCTTCGCCCGCTAAAGCGTACCTCAAGACGGGCAGTTACCGACAGATTGACCGAGTAAAATACATTGTCAACAAAACCATTTCCTGTGCGTTTACCATCTTACCTGCGTATACCAAGCTTGTAGAGAAGATACTTGTAACAATTTGCCTGTTCATTTCACCACGTGACTGGAGAATGGCAGCAGAGTGGCCGTAGGGAAGCCTATATGTAGAATCTTGTTGTTCCTCAGCTGTTGCGAACGAGCCTCTACATCGACCTCCGCCAGGTACCCTGGAAGAGAGGACTGCCTGCAGTTCTCTCTTCTATACCAGGTGGTCGTCACTACCAAGACAACTCATTGGATGTATTCCATTGTTTCTCTTCTAACTTCCAACAGATGATAGCACAATACGCCTTGGCTAAGTCGTATTACTCAATCTGTACCTGTTCTGCTCGGGAGAAGACATCCACCACATACCACTTTCCATCGCAAAGGACGGGAACCAAGGCAGATGAGTGACAACAACATTTACAACAGCGGCGATTGTAAACGCAGAAACCCCGATCCTAGCCATTCGTCAAGTAAGCAAATACCTGTGGCACCTTCAGACATCTCCAAGCTTTTGGGCTAGAATAAAGATTTTAATGAACACTATTTTAAATCAAAAGCATCTTCAAATATTTGCTTCGCATCAACCAAAGCCCTCTCTGAAATCACGGTATCTTCTTGTCATATTGCCATGGAAGCAAAGTAGACGAGAACGGAGTAGCTTCCTAGAGTCTCACCAACTTAAGCATCACCATAACATGACAGAACTTACAATGCGAAACATCAGGAAAGAAGGACTCCCCGCCTAATCTAGACCTCCGTCCCGTACTTCGCCCTCCGAGATCCCGCCTCCGAAAAAAACCAGACCCCACAAGTGGCCGAACAGGCCGCACCCATCCCGGTATGTGAGCGCGAGCGCGTGGGTGTCCATCTGTCTGTCTGCGCCAAGCGCGGACCAGCCCCATAAAAATCTTCCTAATCGCTGCCGCCGCTCCTTATCGCTCGCGCCCCCCCCCACACCGAAACTTTTTTTTGGTCCTCCCCCCGTGTAGAGTAGTCCCTGGGCAACAATTTTCAAAGGGAAATATTTTGTTCAAGTCCCCTTCTTGACCGCGCCTTTTTTCTGCTCCACAGTCCGGTGACCGCTACGGGGCTTTGAATTATATCTTGGACTTTTGTTGTCATTGTTCAATCCGACACTTTACGCCTACGAATTCCATTCTCCCTCCCACTTTGATACCAAGACACAGCAAGCAACAATGGCCTCCGCAGAACTCTCCAAGAAGCGCAAGCGCGCCGAGCCCACGGCCGCCGTCGCAGACGAGTCCTCCACCGTGACGAAGAAGTCCAAGTCCGAAAAGAAGGAGAAGAAGGAGAAGAAAGCCAAGAAGGCCGCCGCCGAAGAAACCTCCGCACCCGCAACCGAAGGCGGCGAGTTCATCGCCCTCGAGGAATCAAAGGCCGAAAAGAAGGAACGCAAGCGCAAGGAAAAGGAAGCGCGTAAAGCTGCCGAGGCCGCCGCCGCCGACGAAGCACCAGACGCCGACGCAATGGACGTCGACCCCCCCGCCGCCGTGACGGAAGAGAAGAAGGCCAAGAAGAGCAAGAAGGAGGACTTGGACGTCAAGACGGAGAAGAAGGACAAGAAGGAGAAGAAGGAGAAGAAGAAGAAGGAGGTCGAGGCTGAGACCGAGACCAATGGCGTAGAGACCGCTGCTCCCGCTGAAGAGAAGACGGACAAGAAGGAGAAAAAGTCTAAAAAGGCGAAGAAAGCAAAGGACGAGGCTGCGGCGGCGGCACCTGCTGTCGAAGAAGCAGCTGAGCCAGCGGCCCAAGAAGAAGAGACGCCCGCCGAGGGAGGAAAGAGGGAAAAGTACATTGTCTTTGTCGGTGAGTCTACCTCTACAACCTCCATCACCAGCACCACCCATCCCTCCCACAAGAACTACAACCAGCTAACCAAACCACCCACCCCTCCCAGGAAACCTCCCCTACACAGCAAACAAGGACTCCATCAACGCCCACTTCGCCGCCTACAAGCCCTCGTTAGTCCGCTGCCTCCACAAGGACGGCAACCCCAACGTCTGCCGCGGCATCGCCTTTCTCGAGTTCTCCAACGGCTCCAACATGCGCACCTGCCTCGACAAGATGCACCACACCTCCTTCGACGACGGCCTCTCGCCCGCGCGCCAGATTAACCTCGAGCTCTCGTACGTTCCCGTCTCCTTCACCCCTACTACTCCTTACCTTTACACTTACCCTCATCCTACCTTGCCTGAACCAACCTCTTACACTCCGATACAAAACCCCCCCCCAACTAACAACCAACCACAGCGCCGGCGGCGGAGGCAAGAGCAAGTTCCGCCAGAACAAGATCAAGGAGCGCAACGTCCAGCTCGACGAGAACCGCCACAGGCGCATGCAAAAGGAGGAGGAGTACAAAAAGGAGAGGTCCAAGCAGGGCGGCGTCAACTCCCAGCAGGAAAGCATCCACCCCAGCCGCTTGGCCATGATGTACCAGTAGACGGATAAACGGAGAGATGGCGTGTATGTTGGATGGTGTAGTTTGGTTGTGTCAAGACGTCGAGACTGCTGAACAAAAAAGCTGGATCTGGATATATATGCCCCTGAGACTAGGTCCAAGATTGGATAACCAGGAGTTGTGGGATAGAAAATAAGGGGTCGATAGATGAACCATTTGAATCATTGCAACACTCAGGTCTCCCTGATTCGATACTCAGGGGCATTTGCAATGGCAGTCAATTCTCAAGACGAAGCTCATCCCTTCCTGACCCAGTGTCTAAATTTCTCCATGAAAAAAGTAGTGTCTTTGTGAGAGTGAGTGCTATCTACAGAAAACGTGGGATATCCTTGTGTTATGTGTTGCAAAGCATGCCCGCTACCAACGATTCCCCCTTGTGTCTGTCATTCTCTTCTTTGCCCTTTGCCCCTAAAAAGAGGCAAAAGAGCAATAACGAAAGCACTGATTCTGCCAAACTGCCGCGGCCGATTCCGTAGACACCACAGTGCCATTCACAAATCCGGCGTGGTAGGTGGGCAAAATCTGATATTTGGGGGTTGTTGCGATCTTCGCAGGCTGTGCTCAGCTGGGGGCCTTCTCGAGTGGGGGTGTGCCTCTGAAAGTAAGTTGTCTCTTCTCGTGTTGGATAGCGTGAGGCACCGGGTTGTGCAACATGGTTGAGCCCTGACGGAAAGGCAGCGGAGAACTAGGCTTGTCATACACTGCCGAACGCCAATCCAAATGTTAACCCGTAACGCTTGAGATCAAGTAAAGGTGTTTACAAAATCGTGCACTTGGACTTCTTCTTCTGCGCGGCAACCGGGCGAGGGTTCAGGACGGCACTAGTTCCAGGTTAGCTATGTCATCTTGCCCAGTTGCGCCGATCGTTCCTCACCGAATGGCCTCATCGAAAACGCTCTTCAGATTTCTCTGTGTCAAAGCAGAGCACTCCAGGTACTTGTGCGCCTTGATCTCCTTGGCGCAGACCAAGGCCTGATCGTAGGAAACAGGCTCCATGCGCTTTTGGCGGAGGGACTCGAGGGTGTTGGGGTCCTCTCTCAAGTCCAACTTGGTGCCGACGAGGATGATGGGAATGTTTGGCGCATGGTGGTCGATCTCGGGGTACCACTGCATCAAATTAGTGCTGATCTCCATGTGGTGGTGGGACGCCGTACCTTGGCCTTGACGTTGTCAAATGACGGCGGGCTGACAATGGAGAAGCAAATGAGAAAGACATCGGTCTGGGGGTATGAAAGCGGTCGCAGTCTGTCGTAATCTTCCTGACCAGCAGTATCCCAAAGTCCCAGGCTGATTGGCTTTCCATCAACCATCACACTCGCCGAGTAGTTGTCGAAGCTGGGAGCTCGAGGTCAGATCAGACTCCATCGTCAATCGTCATGTAGAGTGCTTACACGGTGGGAATGTATTCGCCGGGGAAGGCGTTCGTTGTGTAGGAAATCAGCAGGCATGTCTACAAGATGGATTAGTCGCGAGATACGGAGGGGTATGATGATAGGAGCAGCTTACCTTTCCGACAGCACCGTCACCTGTCACCACGCACTACAAGATCATCAACCCATTAGCCATTCGTTCCTCCCTACTGATAGCAGGACGATGATTTTCGCCGAGCGCGACGCACCTTCAGCGACTGGACTCCTGGCTGAGCCATTTCTGTGATATTCTGAACGATGTGTAGTTGGATTCCACGACAGTCGTTGATGCGAATAGAGTTCGTAGGTTAGGAGAGGCGGCGTCGAATTGGAAATCGATCCGAAATGGGATTCTGTAAAGTCAAGTGTGACACCGGGTTGGAGGGACAAGGAGAATGGCGAGTGTTTGGATTAGGCGGTGGTCGCTCGGGTGTGTTTGGTCCTGAGGAATGGCAATTATGGGTGTGGTATAGAGAGCTTTGGTATAGTATGGTACGATGTGGGCGGCCTGGGCTGGCGACAAACGTCGTGTCGCGTCGTGTCGAACAGACAAAGTGGCAGAGGAGATTCAGGCTCCAGGTAGCAGGAGCGGAAGGAACGAGGCGAGAGCGGAGGTTTGGACGACGAGTCTCTGTTTGACGGCAAGGTTAGGGTCGGGTACAGAGTGAGGTAGATGTGGTAGAGCAAGGCGAGAGAGAGTGTGGACAGGAGTATGAGGGCTTGGGATTTGGGTATCCGTACAGAAGTGAGTAGAGTTGGCGTGGCAGAAAACGAAGCAGGCACACTGCGCGGCAGTAGCAAAAGACAACTGGAGTTGCGGAGTCTGAGCTCTGGTGGGTTCCGATGGCTGCATAAAAAGTCGAGGTCAGAAATGTTTTGACACAGCGGAAGGGATTAGTGCCGCAGGAGGTGAAGCTGAAAGGGTGATAACGGTACCCTGCATATCTAACCTTCTTCTCAGGCAAAGAAAGTGGGGATGGGGGCAATTGGGAAACCTGAGGGAAGGGAAGTGGAGGGGGTCGGGGTGGGCACTGGGCACTGGGCACTGGGCACACTGGTAGGTATCCGTACTGGGAGTGGGAGTGGGCAGGCGGTTTAGAGTCGCAGTGCGGTAGGGTCCGTCGTAAGGTCCAGGGAAAGAAAGGTATGAGGTGAACCGTGAGGTGGTGAGGTAAGGCAAGGCAAGGTGAGGTGAGGAGAGCAGTATTGGGATCGGAATGGGTAGGTAGGTAGGTAGGTACCAAAAGGTACGAAGTACGGGGTCTGGTCTTGGGACAGGGCAAGGGGGGAAGAGGCCGACGGGGGGGGGGGGTGTTGAAGGTGGTGGGAAAGGGAAAGCGTTGGACAGTGGGCGGGAGACGAGAGGACGGGAGGAGAAGGATGAGGAGAGATGGAAGAGGAGCGAGCCCGAGGACAGCCCAGACCAGCAGGACAAAACACTCACCAGGATAAGGTGTAATAGACAGTCACCAGTGTGCTGTACGCAGTATGGGTACGGATTCAGATTAGAGCAGCAAGGAAGTCACTGCTGATGGGAAAGGTATCCAATGTTTCGAGGTTGGCGGCTACTTTACTGTTGGAGGTGGGAGTGAGTGCCCCCCGGCCGCAGCAAGCTAAGAGTGTTGAAGAGAACCTGAAGACGGGATGTTGTGTGAGTTGACTTTGGGCAACAAAGAAGACGATAGGGCGGTGGCAGTGGAAGCGGCCGGCTGTGGCAGTGAGCGATGTCGAGGCAAAGGACGACTAATTGGAGGCTTCAAGAGATTGGTTGTGATGGATTGGGAGGAGACGACGGGGAAGGGCGTTGGATGGATAGAGAGAAATCATCCACGGCTACAGGTACAGAGTGACGAAGTGACGAACGAGCAATGGAAGAAGGCAAAGCAAGGCAAGGCAAGGCATAGGAATGGCGAGGTGCGAGGTGCGAGGTGAGTTGAGGTAAGGATGAGGCAAGCCGCACCGAAAAGTACCTTTGGTAAGCTACTTGGTAGAGAGGTACCTGGGGTACGAAGCACAGTCTACAGATAACCAGGCGCTGGTTTGGGGAGGAGGGGAAGGGGAGGGGGAGAAGGGTGGCACGTACCGGTGTGCGGTCTGCGATGCGATGCGATGCGATGCGCTGCAGTGCAGTGCGTCGCGGGCAGCAAGGAGCTCCTGGCTGCAACAGTTTCGGCGTCAACGTGCTTTCCCTTGCAACGACTGTCTCCCCAATCCAATGGGAAAGCGGCGGCAAAGAGGGCAAAGAGTCACGGACAGTTTCTGAGTTGGGGGGTCCTGGGGAGAGTTGCCAATGGAGAAGCAATGCGTCGCGACCAGATGAAGACTGACGGACTGGCACTTGGCGGTTGACCACAGGTAAGTTTGGAATGGCAGAGTGATTGATTGACTGGATGGATCTGGTGGTGTGTAAGGTGAGGCGAGAAGGATTAGACCAGCCGGGCGCGTGTGGGAGGTCACTGTTGGTTCACACCTAGGTACGACACTTGGAGGGAACTTGAGGCTTGTACCTTAGGTAAGGCACCGCGCAAGGTACCATTGGACGGTGCACTGCGTTTGAAGGCGCGGGATGGAGGACAGGCTGGATTGGGTGGTCAAGATCCGGCAGGCGGGCACGGCGCAGGCCAGTCAGCGGTGATATTCTTCGGGGGGTGGACGGTGGACGGCAGGTGAGATGTGGATTCTGAATTTCTGATGGTCAATATTGGCTGGGTATGAGGATGAGGATGAAGACGCAAGCGAGAGCATCTTGTTCTGGAGTTAAGCTACCTTACTACCTGAGGTAAGAAACAACGCAAAACTTGTCTGCCGTGAGGCAATGGATGGTCGGCGATGATGCAGGAGGTACCTTACCTTCCCACGCTTGCTTCCTTCCTTGAAGGCGCGAAGGCGAGCTAAGAAAGACGGGAGGCAAGAGCAAGTCAAGTCTCATCAAGCACAAGGAAGGAGAGGCTGGTGTTGGGTCCCGGACTGGGTCTGGATCTGGATCTGGATGGATCCAATAATACCTACCGATACTTGTGGTTGGCGGCGGTGTGGGTGGTCCGTGTTGACCTCACCTCCGGCCTTTCACCTCCGACCTTTCACCTCCGTCCTCGGTGGTTGGCGCTGCGATTGGCGCTCTCTGCTGTGGGCGGGTTTTTTTGACGGACACTGGCAGATGAGGTACTCGGAGGTACGTGCAACAGACACCAGCCAGTCAGAGCTGCTAATGACGATGCCAATGTCGTACCTCGAGGAATGAACCGAACTCGACCTGGACTTTGTCTGGGATCGTCACGGGAATGGGACGTTGATAGGGAAACAAGAAAACTGTTCAAATTTAGCTAAGCGATGGTGCCTTTATTTTGGAACCCGAACCACAAGCTGGAGACACAACGAACGACCTTGGCCAAGGATGCTGTTCGAGGACACCTACAAGACGAATCACGACGCCTGAATAAGAGCTTGAATGTGTCAAGCGCTAAACCAACGTCAACTCGATGGCGCAACATGTTACATGATGAGATTGGGTGCCGCTGGGACCTGCTCAACACCGACTCGGCTCGTCTCGTTCGATCAGTCACAAAGGTATGA